AAGGGGGGGGGAGAGGACAATCCTGCTTTTTGTTGCCTTGAGTGGTGCTATAAAGGTGGAGTTGGGAAAAGTGAAGAAGTGAGATCCTACCCCAAGTAAACATGCAACACACCCACCACCATGGAGAGTGCCTTCATTTCCCCAGAGCCATTATTATTATTATTATTATTATTATTATTATTATTATTTTGGTCTGGCAAAACAGGAGGGATTTGCAGAATTGGCAGGGGCTGGGGGAATGAAAGAAACTAATCAGATATGATAAAAATGGACAGATTAACTACTTGGCTAAATCAAAAAGATGTAAAAAAGACTGAAGAAGAATGGTCTCTTGTAACAGAGTATTGCAAAGGAAGATGGCAATAAAACAACAAGTATAACTGGGAACATGACAGGGACAATGATGGGTAGGCAACCTTTTTGAGCCAAAGCCCAGATTGCTGTCCCTCAGACAATTGGGGGGCCGAACAACCGTAAATAAATAAATAAAAAAATTAAAAAAATTAAAAATTAAAAAAATATGCATGCACACTCTCTCAGCCCCAGAAAAGCCATGGCAAAACCCCTGTGGAGATTTTGCCAAGAAAACCCCAATAACAAGTAATAACAACAATAATCAATATCATAATGGCGGGCGGTGGCGGCGGCGGCAGGACCAGACTGGGGCTGGTCCAAAGGCCTCGGGGGGCCGCATCCGGCCCCCAGGCCTTAGGTTGCCTACCCCTGATGTATAGAAATGGGAAAGAAATACATAATAACAGCAAGAACAATAATTGGCACTTATTGTTGTTTGTATTAATATTGAGAGAATCTCTTAACTAAAGGGAAGAAAAAGACAAAAATAGAATAATATCTTAATATAATAGAAGGTGTCTATTGTCAGAGGAACAAGGGAAGTGCTGTGTAATATTCTCTTTATTTATGAGTACAATAACTAGACAAGATTTTAATAAGCTTAGAATTTTTATCTGTTTGGCATAGCAGCTTTGAAGATGACTTATATAAATTTGTAATGATGTGTAATATAAATAAAAATATTAAACATTAAAAGAAAGAAAGAGAGAGGAAGGAAGGAAGGGGATGCCCATCACAAAAAGCAGCTGATATGGCCTTTCTGTCTATTATACAAGACTACCTTCCTCTTCCCCACCCCTAAATTTGGTTGCCACCCCCCTTTTTAAAGGACAAAACACAGATACACACCCAACATGTGTCAACATGACAGTACTGTATTGGAGAGGGTTGCCCCTATTGAATGTCTGCCTGCTGTTGATCTGTTGAATTTATCATCTGTCCAAATTTGACCCCATCTCTCTGCATATTATTATTGC